GAGATGTCAGGTTTGGGAGAAATGGGGAGGGGGGGGGGGGGGGGGGGCGTACTCTTATGCTTTGCATGCCTTAGCGGTTAGACCATTGACCACGCGTCCTCGAGAGGACGGAGCATTGTTCCCACAGGACCGATCACCGATGGCCAATCGTTCCTTCCTACTTTGCCAAAGGTGGGAAATAAAAGCCAAACATCCAACGTTTGAAAATTTTCATCGCACCCGGCAACAACCGCTGTACGTAGGCAACACCGGGGTGCAGGTAGCTTCGTACGACGCATCAACCATTCACCCGTGCACGTTCGACTCGTCCGACCTCGTGGCATCAACCCAGCGACAGCCACCCTCTGCCACAGGAGAGCGCTCCTGGTGGTGGGCCAAAACAAAGCCTACACTTTGTAACAAACAAACAAATAAATAAAATGCCCTTGCCTGCCGCTGGGTCCCATGATAGCCAAAAGTCTCCCCGGCAAGGCGTGTCCGCTGACTCCCTGCAGAATCGCCGTTCGCCTGGAAAAAATCCACCGAACCAAAAAGTCCAATTTGCGGAGAATACGCAGACATGTTTGGGTTGGGTGTGATTGTCGCGGATTGAGTCGCGTGGGTTAAGTCTTGGAGTGTTTTTTTTCGGCAAGTAGTGTACGCGCCCGGCGAAAGGGAAAAGGCCCTCTGTGTACCGTGGCTTAGTCAGACGACGCTGTATCTATTCTGGGCGCCAGCATAACCTCTTTGGTACCCTATTTACTGTAGTACGTTTGACACACCAGCCGGGGTCAAATAAAGGAGGAAGCATTGAATTTTTCAGAAAATATACATAAGAAACAGAAAGACTACCCGATCGAGAGAGAACCACAGTCGAAGGGGGTGCGTTGAAGTCTTCACAGCGAGTTTTGGAATTTCGTCTCCACGTAACCCGTGCGTGCTTGTTCCAACCTCGGACCAAAGGGTTCATCGGCATGTGTCGTCTTCGTTGTTCACTCGATGGCTATTTCCACCGTTCGACTACATAATAGTGGTTGTGGTTTCACCTGCCGCTACCATCGGATGGTTTGTTGCTGGAAACCTCCAAGTTCACCCCTTCCCATACCACGTGATGCGGCTCTGCACCAGGCAGCGGGGAAGCACCAGTGCCGTGACGGGAAGCCAGCAGGAACACCAGGAGCCAGCACCGATTGAGCCAGTGCATGATATATTTTGAGGCCTTGTATCCGAAAGGCGTTATTTTTTGTCAGCTGCTGTGGACGCCAGACGCACCGCAGTGCGCACAAGCTACGACACAAGAAGAAGTGTTCAAAACCTTGGTTAGGCACACCCCAGCGTAGACGGGCTGGTGCCTCGTGATGAACATGAACATCATGGACGTCTCCACCGGAAACGCGGCACAATTAGACATGATGGCCCCCCCGAACTTCAACGGCCTTCGCCTGCGTATCCCCCATAGCAGCTAACAGCACAGATATGCCGCTGGCGGTGGCATATCGTATCTCTGCCACCAACAGTCTCTCGTGTGCGTGTGTGGCGCAAGAAGTGTTTGAGTACTGCCGCACAAGAGGCGATGGGTACCCGTTCGGCAGCGAGGTTGCAGAGTGCAGCCCCCGCATCCTCTCGTCCAACTCGAACAACGTTTGCAAGAGACGCCGCCGCCCGGCACCGGTTGCAGCTCCGCACTCCACGCGGCATGTGTTTCCTCTTGGTCGTTGCCGCCGCCGCTAGCCTCATCTTGTCCTTGCCGACAGCCAGCGGGGCCGGCGCGAAACCAGGGGCGGCAGCGTCGATGAAGGCCAGAAAACGCCGGTCGGGCCCCAAAGCCGGGAGAGCAGCCAGCAGTGCGAGCGATTTGGCGAGAGTTGATGAACATGTTCATGATTCGAAGTTTGCGAGACGCCGCTCCTACTCGAGGTCAGGAGAAGAAGGAGACGGCGAGCGTGTGAGCCATCACGGCGGCGGCAAGGGAAAACGAGGAGCTAGTAGAAATCGAAGGACGGCCGGTGCTGCTGGTGTCGCAAGCGATTCTTTCGTACCATCATCATCATCATCATCATCATCTCTCGGCGGCAGGGAGGATGACGGGTCGGGGAGCAATAGCAGCGAAGACGACCAAGGTCTTCACGACGGCAGCAGCAGCAGCAGCAGCAGCAGTAGCTGCGAGAACTATGACACGGAGGAGGGCCTGTGGGGGGAGAGCACAGGAGACGAGGAAAGAGAAGCAAGCGTGGCGACGACACGAGCAACGAGCGGTTCCCGCGACGACAGCTCACCAGACGAGCCCTTTTCCTACGAGGCCTACGACTCCGAACCACCAGTGGACGATGACCTCCACGTGCACAACGATGACGGCATCACCCAACAACGGCAGCGGCCAGGGCGCGAAGGAAGCGACGAGGACAACTCTGTGGAGGTGTGCGTCCTGACTTGGAACCTTGCGGAGGAGAGCCCTCCCGCCGACGACCTGGAGTTCCTCAGGCAAGCAACGCGAGAGACCGACCTCGTGGCCGTGGGGGTGCAGGAGATCGAGAACCTCAAGCCCAGGAGGAACGAGGGCGGGAGGACAAGAGAGTGGCGTCGGCTGCTGATGAGGTGCACAGGGGGATCAAGAGTAGTCGTGAGGGGAAAGAGTGTCGTACGCATCTCATATGGTGCATCGGAAAACAGGAGGACAAGAGTAGTCGTAATGGCAGGAATGCGGGGAAAAGGTTGGCGTATGGATGTCTTGGCTCTTACCATACGTTTGACTAGACTCTCAGGGGACTGCTGTACGTTGGACTCAGCGTCGTTGCGTCGGTCTCGTCGTCACCGAGCAATGCTGGTGCCTGATTCAGCGCCGGCGACGGGGGAACTGAGAGGAAAAAGGAACTCATGCGTACCTCATGAGCGGGGAAGGGGATGGCAGGGACACCGGTGTCACCGACGGAGCAAGCAGAGCCGCTGCCGCCAGAGCAAGGGCGTCCCACGGCAACCGCAGGAGGGGGGGAGGGGTTGCGCCCCGCGTGATAGTAGCACATTATGCTCTTGAAAGACGGGCCCGACGCGCACCAGTTGTTTATGATGCACACTCGCGCGTTCCGTTTTTTCGGCAGGACCCTTGGGAGAGACTTTGTTCGGGTTGGGCACCATGCGATGGGAGCGGTGCAGCTGACTCTCTTCGCGCGGAGGGAAGTGCTCGACAGGGTCAAGGTCAGCGCGTCTGCTTGACCCTCCGCGGTTTTTTCCGTCCTTGCCTTGCCTTGTGTTGCGTTGTCCCGTCTTTTGGGCCGCCGGCTTGCTTGTCTTCCCCGTCGAGATCTTGCTATCTTCTACCGTATGCTGTTGCTTGGCGTGTCTGTCTGCCTTTGCAGTGTGCTGCTGTGGAAAACTGCGAGTGAATTTGCCCCCATGTCTACGTGCTCTGTGGGCGATTGCCCGTACTCAACATCTCCACCGTAGTGAAGTGGCACGACGCTGACCAACAAAGAAAGTTGCTATAATAGTGGCTCGCGTCCAAGACATGCGCGTTAAAGAATCAGCCGAAACCGCGGCCGACTGCTGCTCTTCCCTGCTGATGTTGTTCTCCATGAAGCCGTTTCGACTGGACGTTTCCACCAACCACGAAATCGTCCTCGAAGCAACCAACCGTGTCCTCGAGAGTGTGCGAAATGACCGCCAGACACTTAACCCCCGCCGCAGCTACCGTTACCATCAACGTCCTGGCGCCCTTGCCCCCTGTCTTTGTCTCGCGCAACGAACATCCCTATTAGGTGATCAAGCTGACGGAGGTGGTGTGCGGCGTCGGGAACGTTCTGCAGAACAAGGGCGGCATCGGCGCTTACGTCCGCGTGGACCGGACGACGTTCCTCTTCGTGGCAGCGCACCTGGCCGCCCACCAGGCAAGTGGCAGGGTTCGCCCGAGGGCCGTATTGCCTCAGATTCCACAAAGTACTATTTACACGGGTTCGTAGATGTTTGTTGCACACTTCATCGAGGGCACCATTTCGGTGGCGGTCAAGAGAATCAAAACGAAAGCATGTGTGGAAAGACCAGGGACTTGTCGAGAAGACAGCCTTGCTTCGCACGACAGCGCCAAGCGTACAGAGGAACCAAAGTCCTGAGAAGCACTGCAGTCTGAGCAGCGGATGGCGAGAGCAACTGTTCTGTACTGGTACGCTTCGACATGGGACTATGTCAGTGGATGCTCAATTGCTTAGGGCCTAGAGATAGCGAGTAAGCTTTGCTTCTGTCGGCATTCTTTCATTTCTCACCGCTAGGTTGGGTGATTTTGCCGTTGCCGGCTTGCCGGTTGCTTTTTTGGCAACCGCCACGCGAGCTGCCGGTTTGCCCGAAGAGGCGGTCTCAACAACAGACTCGCGCACAGACCACAACGACGGCAATCAAATCAATCCCAAAACGTTGCACAGATCCCCACCACAACCACCCGTCAATACCCACTCGTCGCTTCACGCGCTCAGGGCAAAGTGGAGGAGCGAAACGCCGGCTACTGGCGAATCGCCACAACGCTTGACCAAGAGATCCCTCCGGCCTGGGTAACCCATGCTTCGAGGAAACGCGCCAAGCGTGCGAAGGCGGCGGCGGCAGCGGCGGCCGTAGCGGCAGCGGCGACATCAACGCAGGAATCCGAAGAGGACGGCGAGCAACCATCACCGCCCGTGCCACGGCTGCCGGGGGGAAGAGGAGGGCCGCCAGCGCCCCCGCAGGGGCCCTTCGGAGATCGCGTGGATCGCGTGTTCTTTTTCGGAGATCTCAACTACAGAGTCGATCTTTCGCGGGAGGACCTAGAGCTCGGGGTTGTTTCGATTTGTGGCCGGCGGCGGGCAGCCGAGGGGGCGGGGGAGGGGAAGGGGGAAAGAGAGGCGGGCGGGAGATTCAGACCAGGTGGGGCACAAAGGCAGCGGGTAATAGAGAGAGTGCAGTGACAGACTTGACACGTTTTCATCTTTGTCGTCTTGTCTTGTTACTCTTGCTTCGGGTTGTGGACGTTATGGATTGCTGGAAACGCACCCTGGGAAATAGCTAGCGGCACTTGGTGGCCACCGGCACTAGCATGGGAAGCATATTTTCGTCGTCATTTTCGTCCTCCGCACGTCGATGCCAAGGTCGCGGTGTTTTGCGCGCGATCGTACACATGCGCGAAGGCCGAAGCTCCCTAGAAATTTTCCAACGAAGGCCCCTTGGTTCTTCGGCTATTTAGGACATGGTCTGTGAGCTTCTGAATGTGTACGCAACGTAAATAAACACGGACGTTTTTCACTATAGCGCTAAGCTCTCTGCGGTGGCATCGTGACGATTATTTGCCTCGCGTGCGCACGTCAGCAGCCTCAATATGATCGCCGTTTGTTTGTTTTTTTCGTGAGAGAGGCCCGTTATTGTTCTACCCGTGCTGCTGCTGCTGCTGCTGCTGCTGCTGTGTTTTTCTCCACCGGGTGAATCTATACGCGAGGCATGTGTAATCACATTCGTTTTGTGCGTGCCGCTGTCCTGAAACCTTTTCGTCGTAGGCATCACGTACCCGGGTACGGGGGACCTTGACTCCCTGTTGGACTTCGACCAACTAACGCTAGCGCGGAGCCGGGGCGCCGCCTTCAAGGGATTATCGGAAGCGCGTGTGACCTTCGAGCCAAGCTACAAGTACGACAAGGTGCGTTGTGAGGGAGCCTTTGACGCCAAAGACAGGTACAATCTGAAGGTTGAATGCATGTCCTTCTAATATTTGCACAGGACGGGGGAATGAGAGGTGGGGTTAAAGGCACGGGGACTAGAAGGGATGCGGAGAGAGAACGCGAGAGGGAGGGGCAGAGATACACAGAGGGACGAGCAGGGGCGGGGGTGGGGGGTAGAGAGGGCAGAAGCGGGAGAGATAGAGACAAACCCGTGTTTGTTTCATACGGTAGATCGCAGGAACACAACAGAATACCGAAGGTGTGAGAAGAAGAAACGACATGGCCAGAGCCTGTGAGGTTCTGTATCTTCCAGGTCGAAGCGTATAACCGATCTACTCCAGCTGAGAAAACCTGTTGCTGGCGCTGGCACTCTCAACAGGCGCAACTCTTTTCCACGCACTTGCTCTCGTGTGTTTTCTGTCCGAAAAAATGCCTCTTTTTTGTTGTCGTCTTTTTTTCACAGGGGTCCCAGCATTTCGACACCTCGCGCAAGATGCGCCCCCCCGCGTGGACAGATCGCATTCTCTTCTCCCCTGCCGGGCCTCTCGGAGTGTCATCTCTCGCATATACGAGTGTCCCAGGCTCTTGCCACAGCGACCACCGACCCGTGTACGCGAAATTCAGGGTCCGATTGTCCGACTGAATCGAGCCAGTGGATAAATGTGTTCTGGTACATACATACATGTGTTGACCAAAAAGGAATGCGAGATCAATGACTTGTTGTGTAGACCCCAAATCCACTTTTTCGATTTTGCCAGGCATAGTTTCTCGAGCGCTTGGAAGGAATAGTCGACTCAAACTAGTGTTTCAGATGTGGTGCTTCGGTCACGAGCGTGGCGGGCATCGATGGCGACGTTGCTGATAGCTTCAGGCCAGACACGCGGCTGTGGGGTTGAACGCCGCAGTTTGTCTCTAGTCCTGTGGGGTTGAACGCCGCAGTTTGTCTACAATAGTTCCGTGGGAAGTCGTCGGCTCTCTTGTCACACCTTGATGGTGCATCCGATGTACCGCAGCTGGGAAAAGGCGGAGTGGTTTGGCGGGGGGGGGGGGGGGGGGGGAAAATGGCTGGGAAAAGGTCCCGGAACCCGAAAAGGGCCCAAAAAAAAAGGGGGGGGGAGATGGGGGTTTACCCCCAAGGGCCATTTTTCCCAAAAAAGGGAAAACCCTGTGGAAGGGTTTCCCAAAAAAGGGCCCCGGG